CCGTGATAGGGGCGGGTCTTACTGTGAACCTGCGCGTTCATTGGCTAATAACTTGAGATTGACAAGCCGTTATCCAATGAGCGCGCGGCTTCTTCCGACATAAAGTTGTTTCCTTTGAAAAACCAAAGTCTGATTATTTTTGCCTCCACTGACGGAGCCTGTTGTTCCCGCCACAGAGACACAGTAATGTCAGAGCGGTGTTAACACTCACCTGCCTCAGCACAGCTCTCACTCTCCTCCTGCTCTCTCAGCTAAACTCACTTCCTCTCTACTTACAGGAAACCAGAGGAGCCGAGCGGCCTCACGTTTCACCCACAGACACGAACAGCGTGGAATTATTTTATGTCATAAGAAGAAACATATTCATGTTAACACTCACCTGCCTCAGCTCCACCTTCCTCCTCCTGCTGCTCGGACAATCAACACTTTCACTATCACTGCTCCTCCCTAAACACAAGCTGGGACTTGTAGTTTTTAACTTGTATACTTTATTAATCCCCTGTAGGTAAATTATGCATTTAACCCATTCACTCAGTGGTTAATCCTCGCCCTGATGTTCTGAGAGGTTTCCCCGACTCTCTGCAAACACTTTTTAAACCACTTTGCAAAAAAAAAGTGTTCTCTTACAGTTCCACTTTCTCCTGTGTTTAATCAAGTTTCTGCTGCAGGATGCACCTCATCCTTCCAGCGGTTTGAGCCGGTGTCACTCTCTGCCCTGAAGGGGATATTTGAGCATCTAAAAAATTCAAACTCTGTACATGACATCCTACATCTCGCATCATCAAGGAGGGTTTTAATGTGATTGGGCCTAGCATCCTATCCTTAATGAACTTATCATTGCTTTTGGGTGGTGTCCCGACCACTTTTAAACATGCGGTAGTACAAGCTGTTCGTAAAAAAAGTAGCCTTGTCCAAAATGACCCTGCAAACTATAGGCCGATTTCCAAACTTCCTTTCTTGGCTAAAATTCTAGAGAAAATAGTCCTTTTGCAACTACAGGCCTATCTAGATGTGAATAGCATCACTGATAAATTCCAGTCTGGATTCAAATAACGTCATAGTACAGAAATGGCATTGTTGAGAGTCTTCAATGACCTCCTTGTGATCGCTGATTCAGGGCGCTCAGCAGTTTTAGTTTTGTTGGATTTGTCCTCAGCGTTTGATTTAGTGGACCACAAAATCCTTTTGATGAGGCTAGAACACATGGTAGGCATCAAGGGTACTGCTCTTAGTTGGTTCAAATCGTACCTTTCTGAAAGGTCCTTCGCTATTACGATGGGAAGTTACTCTCTCTGTTGCCCCCTTTTCCTGTGGTGTGCCCCAAGGGTCTGTGTTAGGCCATATGTTGTCCTCTTTGTATTTGTTACCTCTAGGTCGCATCTTTGAAAAATATAAAATTTCCTGCCATTGTTACGCAGATGATATTCAAATTTACTTTCATCTGACTGAGGATGTCTTACTGTCGCTACACTGCGTTTTTGATTGTATGAGAGAAGTTAATTCAGTTCATTTCCATTTAATTTATACAGCGCCAAATCACAACAACAGTCGCCTCAAGGCGCTTTATATTGTACAGTAGACCCTACAATAATACATACAGAGAAAAGCCCAACAATCATATGACCCCCTATGAGCAGCACTTTGGCGACAGTGGGAAGGAAAAACTCCCTTTTAACA